CCAGCACGGGGGAAGTTTCTCCCCGGCTGGGAAAGCCGAGCTCGTTTTCCCCTCCTTTGCAACTACATCTCCCCCACCTGCCCTCCGCCCGATATTCCCAATACCCCCTTACATCCCGCTGCCCCGCCACCCCCTCAGAAAGGAGAAAAGTGGGGTTTCCCTGCCCCTTTCTCCAGCTCAGAGGATGCGGTATCATCCCGAGGTCTTTCCCACCGTCAGAGGATGCTGAACCTCTACCTACAGGGCGGAGGTGCGGTAACCCATCCCTCTGGAACAGCTTCCACAAGAGATCACCGCTGTGTTTCCACACCCATTTCCGATCAAAGCCTCTTCAGGTGTTACAGCAGCCTTTTTTTCGTGCAAGGTTTCTGTCCCTTCCACCCAAATCATTGCGTGCCCCGCCCACAGCAAACCCAGAACCAGAGAACGACTGGAAAGTCATCCCCATTCTTATGTCATCTGGTGAATGAATGACACGCAGTGTTCCTCAAGAGTTTTACTGGGGAAATCACTGCTCTCAGCATCCATCTCCACAGGCAAACCTCTTCTTTACTGTGATGATGCTCTGGGGAGCCAGAGCAAACCTACAAATATCAAGTTTTACATAATTTTCTTAAACAGACCACACTGTCCCAATTAGTCTTTGATCGACTGGAAAGCACAAATGACAAGCTATGATGAGCTCTCCACAGAGCAAGTCTGAACCCTCCCCCCAGTTCCCTTCAGAGCCAGGCAAAGACGTTGTAAGACTAGGACTTGTTTTGCTTTTCCTTTCATTAACTGTTAGAGGCCCCTCTCCAAACCCTGTGTAGTTTTCAGTTGTTCTTTTTTGTTCTCAGTGCTAAGCAGATGGCCCTCTAATTGCCAGTGTTCATGGAGGACAATGGATCTATACATCAAAATGGTAGTTAACTCTATTATCGTTCTGTATTAACAATGCCAGGCTGCTATAATCATATAGCCTTTAAACATATAAAACAAGACACAGGGACACAACACTCCAGTAAAACTCACATGCAGCTTCATTTGTATGTAAAGGAAGCCAGGAACTTCAGCTCCATTTGAAGCTTGTTTCAGAAGACAGCCATTATTAACTCCAGGAGGCAAAGCCAGATACCTTGTTCACCTTCCATTCAGATTACAGTTTCTGCAAAATAACAGAACCCAGTTACCTGGCCACCATGAAATGCAAATCAACACTGCAACATTTTCTCTGTTTCCTCAACCTCCCGCTCCTCCATGCCTTTCCTGTACTGCCTATACAAGGCCCATTTCCACAGGCAGATGCTTCTTTGGGAACCACCAGCCTTGACTGTGGGAAGTCGAGAGCCCGATTCAAAAGCCTATGAAGAATTTCACTGGCTCCAAGACCCCCACCATGTCCTCCCCTGTCTGTGTGAGGATTCAGCTTGGCCTTAACCTCCTCAGCTGCTCATGAGAAAGAATTTTAGGTGAAACATTTGCCTTTTAAGCGTTCTCTGCTTCCTCAGGCATATAAATAGCACTCTCTAGTTACCCTTGTGTAACTGCTCTACTCCAGCGTGTGCCTGGCTATACTTACCTTGGATATGACAGTCAAAAGGGGCAAGTGATACAAAGATGCTGAATAAAAATAGCCAGCTATTTTAGTATCTACGAGGTATTTGTATTAAGTACCTGTATCACACAAGTCCTATTGATAGTAGGTACAACCACCACTACAGAAGCCTTCTTGCTGCAAAACAGACAGCTGAGATTAAGCAGTCACACACCCCTGCCTCTCAGGGCTCCTAATCCATCCCTTGCACTGCAGCAGCAGTCACTGGGACTTCACAGCTGTTTTCTTTGTGCTGCGTGGCTTATTTACATTTGACTTGTCGGATCTCTCTGAAACGCTCCCTCACCTCAGCATTGTGTGGGCTGATCCAGAAGAATCAAGAAATCCTGTATTTGCCCTTGATAAAAGAAGATGTTAAAGTGCTGCCAGGGCATGTTTTGCCCATCAGTTACATCAGGGTCTACATGGGAACACAGGTTATTGCTTTCAGATTTGATCAGAATCAAGGTTACAAAGATTTGCAAGTTTTGCAGTAGGTCACCCAAGAGGTCCGTCACAGCAGCAGGGACAGAATTGGATGGAGTGTATCTAATTCCATCTTCAACACCCAAGAGCAGGATTTCAAAACATGATCCCACAGACTTTTCTGCCAGCACTGGAAAACCAGGGAGAATCCAAGCACCTTGCCCACAGTTAATTAAGTCAGCCTGTATTTTCAAAACAATGTTGCTTCAGATGGACTTTTACAGACAGGCATCAGCTGGCACGAGCTTCCCTCAGATTAGGAAAGAGATGTGACGACATTAAATCAGGATTACAGCAGGCGGTAGTGTATTTCACTCAATCAGTTGCGAGTGGCACACCCCAACCTCCCTTCTCAGATGTGTCAGAACTTCAATTGCAGTGACATACATGCTTCATAATGTTGTGACAATCTATCGCTCTGTGAATAAACAGTATTTATCCTGCTGGATTCTCTCAAATACAAACGCTTAAAAAAATACACGTTTGGCTCATGCTAGAAGCTAGAGCTTCAAAGGATGACAAGTGAGTTTCTGTGGCTGAGCTCCTTCTAAATTGAGAGGAGAGTGCTCGGGGAGTATGAGGATTGTTCTCCTCTAATTAGATGTGCTAGTGGGATTATCTTCATTCTTGGATGCCAATTAGTTTTCATGGAATGAAAATCCTGCAGCCCATTTCATGAACAAACTCATCTCTTCCATTCAGAAGGTGCTAAGGGGATGGATCTGGAGAAAAACACCAATCAAATCTGAAAAGCCAGCACCTCAGGGGACACCATCTATCCAGCTTCACTAATGGCAGCAGAAGTCCTTTCAGAGGTCTTATGCATATGCAATGCTGGTTGCAACATAATGGACAATGGAGTTCCACAGACACTTAGGATTTGCTGCCGTTATACATTACTGTATATATATTTACCCATAGCTCACTAACACCAACTGTTACAGTGGCTTAGAGCTGGGGCAACATGCAGTTGACCCATGCCCCAGGAATTCATTTATCATCTCAGTAGCTCTACAGTGAGGCAGGATCAGGAGCCTGGCTCATCTCTTTGTTCATATGGTGATGGATCTGAAGAGGAGTCAAAATCCATCAGACACATCCACTGGAGAGGGAACAGGCCAGGTACTCAGCTGGATCTCACCTGTGCTGTGTCCAGACAAGGGGCCTGGCAAAGCAGAAGGGACAACACTTCAGGAGTGCATATGCCCATACACATCCCAAAATCTTTGCATGTCTCCAGCCAAAGCCTCTGTGAGAGGCAGCAGCCAGGACCACGCTCAGACCTCCTCCCTCTTATTGAGCAAAGACTATTTACCCTGTACCAGGCACCTGCAGTGATGCTGATGAATGGAGCTTGCTTGTCAAGCTACAGGAGGATCTGACAAATGACAGGGACAGAGGTATCAGGAACAGCGTCTGCTTCAGCTGAATCCATGGGAGATGAAATGATACTGCTATTAGATAAGCCAAAATGCTTCTAAGAACACCTTGCAGCAGCCTGTGCTTGGGCAGATTGGGCTGGTACAGTTTGTTACTTGTAATGGGTAGTCACGTCTGCACATTTCGATTTAGCCTGTCAACCGAAACCCAGTAGTGATAAAAAATGCACCCTCATAGCAGAACTGAGTCCATGCAATGTAAATCACTGAATGCACCGAGATATAAAACCATGTCATTCTGTATTTACACAATAACCAGCTTCCAATTTAAATCTAAAATGCACATCTTTTGCATCCACTGAAATATTTTTGAGTCATTTTTCCCCTGAAAGTTAAACATGCTTGTCACTGCCCATGGCCTTAGCACATGGTATCAATGAACTGCCCAGCAAACTAAGCTCCAGTTGAGAGACAGAGAAGCTGTGAAGAGACCCTGTGTGGTATAGATGTGTAATTTCTGTAGTGTGGGCAACCATCTTTTTTCCTTTCTATATTTATATAGTACCTCACACAGTGGATTTCGTTCATGATACATGCTCTTAGGCAGTACAGAAACAATTGCTAGAAACCAACTGCTAGTATTTAGTCTCAAACACTTTCTTCAAAGAAAATCTAGAGAATCTACAGGATATTTCTGCTTCAAAACCAAAAGAGCCTTAAAAGTTCTGGTCTACTCTTCTTGAATTGTCTGTCTTAGTTGTCTTTACAAAAAAAGAAGATTTTGCTCACTTGTAACCCTCTTCTCTTCCATGCAGCATCCTTCTAGCTCCAGCTCTTCAGTGATGTATCTATGCCACAGAAATAAGGTCAAATGTTATATGGCAAAACTGAAAAGAGGTTTAAAATATACCTATAAGACATGCCATAATTGTTAAGGGATATTAAAAATATATGCACAGATTCTGCTATGGTCTTCTGGAAAAAAGCACTATGCCAGCTGATGCAAATCTTTAGGGCCTCTGGATACACTCACGGGTTACAGAAGCTGTAAAGGTATCACCAGAGTGAAAAAAAAACCCCAAACAAACAAAAAAACCCAAAACACAGGTAAGTGAGAAAGGGAAGACCAAGTCTAAACACAATTATTTCCCCAACATCCCAGGTTTTCCACATGAACATCTTCATATATGCCACTCACCCCCCCACCCCATCTCTCCTCCCTGTTCATTTCTCTCTTGGTGTTTGTCAGCTCAGATGCGAGAAAACTAGATTATGCTGCAACACAAAAATAAATACATAAATAAGAAGCAGACTTTGGGGCCTATGGAACAAAGGACAAATTTTCCATATTGCACTGTCAGCATGATTATCACTAAAAAGCAGTGCCACTTCTTAGGTCCTTCCCTGACAGCAATTCACTGACCTTGCTCACTCCAGGCAGTAAATGCAACTTAGCTCTTGCAATTACACTGGTATGGTATCCATGTGAAAGATGACATTGATGTGAAACAACATGTGTGTTTCCTGCCCTCCTACAAGAGAAAGTCGGAATTTGCCTAATACTGTTGCATCTCTGGGATTTTTAGTCACAAGTCTTTTCATTTTATCTGTGATGCCACTTCTCACCTTGCTATAAACTCCTCTTTTGCTGCCAGAAAATGATGTGCTGGAGTCCCAGTCAAAACCTGCCACTCCATATGAACCAATCATCAAGCTAAAACGCAGCTTTGGATCCACGGGAGCTCAAAAAGCCCCTACATGATTACTCATGGCTTTATGAATTTGGCTATGACTAAATTCTCCCCTAGCTTCAGCTGTAATGAAATGGCCTTGCTGACAACAGGAGCAACCTCCACAGTCCCAGACGTCTCCTCCTCTGCAAGGGGGGCAGTAACAGCACCCCAAAACCCTCCTCACCAGAGACAAGTCCTGGACAATAAGCATCCTCCAAAAGCTGCCAGCGTGTCTCCCTGGCCCAGCTTTCGGATGCTTGGCATTGCTGTAGGACCAGAGCTCCAAGGCAGCCGACGCCCAGAGAGCAGCCTGAGAGCTATGGGGCCTCTCACCCTCCAGCCTGTGCACAGTGGAGCTACACACCTAGGCTCCCCCTGACCCCCCTCCAAAAAAACCCCCACAAAACAACCCCTGCCCACCCCCCCCCAACATTTTTATAAAGTATGCAATTAACCAAGCTGGTAACCTCACTGGTGAAGAAGTTTGGGGCTTCTGCAGTAGACTGTAAAACAGGATGGAAATTTCTTCCAGCAAGCAAAATGCTGACTTAAGCCCTCATATTCTGAGTGCTGCTTGTCATTAAGCAAAAATTACTTTTACAGTTGCCTTTGCACTGCAAATAATTTCATTTAGGCAATGAAACAGCCCCATTCAGTGTTTCTGCCTGCATTTTGTCAACTGTGTATGTTCCATTTAATATTTACAGACTGGGGCACTAGTCTGGCTTACTTAGTAATTAATTTCTTTAAATATTTATAGCACTTTGACTCCCAGCAAGGGTTCTGTTTGGTAAGAACAATACTGTTCTGTGGTTGATAGTGTCATGGAAATTTCAGAGGCAAATTTCATTTTTGTAAGATAAAAATATAGAGAACTCTGCAACACACTGTAGTGATTTCAAAGGAAACTTTTTATTGCTGAACGACATATATATTGAAAAATAAATCCCATTATGTCCTTGCACATAATTCCAGACTGAAAACACAGTGGTGAGCGATCTATTTCATGACACCGGTACTCACACAGCAAAAGGAATCACCAAAGAGATTTTCAATCATCTCTTTTCAGTCACCACTGGCACTAAAACCAGAAACCCAGCTACAAAAAGACCCTATGAAAGAGAGAGCAAAACCTGCAAAATGCAAGAGGAGATTTTGCTGAGATGTCTTCCCATTAGAAAATCCTTTTTTTCTTTTGCATACACTGATTTTAAGACTTTTAGGCTCCCTGTGTGAAAAGCTGTGTACTTATAAAAAAGGCTTCAGAGGTGAAGTTTAAAGGCAGCCTTGGGAACTGAAAATACCTGGCAGATACTCAGTCAGTCTAAATTTGCCTAGTTCTATCAACTTCAGAGACTACATTTATATGATACCAGCTGAGAGCCAGCACCAGAGAGCACATCCCTGGCCTGTCATTTTAGGCTTTGCTGTAGACGCATGAGTTTTCAGGCATTCCCTCCTGGGTAAGATGATAACTACCTATATTTGTGATGCAGGGACAATTTTCCAGAGGCAAATGATAGTTATAATTCCTCTGCAAAATGCCATGTGGACAAGGTGGGGCCTGTCAGGGATGTTGCCTTCCTCACACACAACCCCCCTGTTCACTGGACACCACCATCTTTCTGCTCCTCAGTTTTTTCCAGTCTCATCTCCCCCATTACGACTCCAGGAACCTCAGACAACTCACCCCGACAGTGAGGCAGAGGAAGCAGAGGAACCGCATTTTGGTGCTGACTTGATGTTTTGCAAAACACCCTCCCTGCCACTGCAGCACGCCAGCCAGGAAAGCAATCTGCCCTGGCTCTGGAAAAGCAGCCACCATAATACCTCAAGTCAATAGGAATGAGCAGCTGGGAGTGAGAACAATCAGTGGGAAAAAGCCCAACAGACAGTGGCTCTGCAAGTCAAGTGGCAGTAACTCCTCCTTGCAGGAGTGCCCAAAGTTTGGCTCCCCAAAAGCCAAGGCTTTCAAATGCAACCTAAACTTTCCCTCCAACCCTGCAATAACCAAGAAAACACCCACTCAAGGACAATCAGAATCTTTTCCGAGTAGAAGAGCTATTCTGCAAGAGGCAGAATTAATGACACTTGAATTAAATGATTTTGAATGTGTCCCCTTTCACCCCAGGGATCCCAGCTTGCTCCTGCATCCCAGCCTGGCCATACACCTGCTCCAGTGCCCTGTGCTCCCCTCCCTCCCTCTTGTCTCAACCATTTTGGTTAGGCATGGTGCAGTCTGGAGCTGTGCAAGTGCTGACCGCTGACAGGACAAGTGCTGAGTGACCGGTTGGCAGGATGGACATGAGCTGACATAATTCTCTTTCCCTCAGGGAGGCACTAATTTGGGTCTCTCTTCTCTATCCATCTGCCAGCAACATTAATGCAGGTCCTTCTTTTCAAACACGCATGGTCACAAACCTTCTGGCTTTGCCACCTCTGTACAAACAAGCCAGACAGCACCGGCATACCAAAGCTCCACACACAGATGCTACACATGGATCCCATGGCCCCATACCAGGGCCACTGTTCTGTCCCTTCTCCAAAGATCCCTCCCTGGTCAGAGAGGAACACGGTCTGGCAGAAACTCAACTCCACACTGCCTGGCACTCATTCACCATCCCGTCCATCTAGCTGGTCTCAATGAGAAGTTCATGACTTCGTGGCTGCCAGAGAGCACATATTGGGTTCCTGTCACGCTCCCTGGAAAAGCACCAATTTCCAAGGAGTAGCACCTACTGCAAGCAGCGGAGGTTCACTACAGCTGGCACCTGGCAGCCTACAGCAAGACCAGGCAGAGAGCAATGGGTATCTTTGCTGTTATTCTAAATCCCATCACACGTCTGCCTCTGCAGCTTTCTAGCCCAAAACCCTTGCAATGTGCTGCAGGCCCCCTGCCAGGGATGCAAAGCCAGCACACAGCCTGCCAGAGAATATAGAAAAAAGCTCTTTTGAGATTAAATGTCTTCACAAGGTGGAAATCAGAAGATGCCAAGAGCTGTGACCTGTTATCCAGGGGTACTAATGTGGGAAGCTTGCCACCACTTACTTCTCCAGACCTTGCAAAGGTGGCCTTGACCAGCTGGGAGCCAGGCTCCCATGGGAAGGGGGTGATGCCAGCTCTCCCTGGGATCCTCAGCACCTTTGATGCCACACTACCTTGTTCTCAGGCCTGTCTCTTGAAAAAGCACATGTGGGGCATTCTCTTTGGCACAATCTCTCTCGATTTCCAACAAGCAGCCATGCCTGCTCCCTTGGGCTTGGCCGTAAGCGATGCCCCAGGGTTTCCTCATCCTTTCTTCTGGCAGCTGCTGCTGGCCATACTCAGACAGGAGGCCCCTGGGGGTGACTCAGTCCAGTCACTCCATGTGATGTTTGAAAGGCTGAGCAGAAAGCATTTTATACACTCTGGGAGGACACACTGCCCAGAGCAGTGATGCTCCCTCAGGGACCCCCCTAGACCCAGGGAGGATGAGGGGGCAAGGATGTGAAAACAAGCTGACCTCACAGAGTACATGCTGCGTCACTTCTTCAACAAGGCGGCCTGGACCACAGACACAAAACCATATTATTTCAACCTCTAACTTCAGCCTTTTTAGGGGAGTTCCTGTTAGACAAAGATGTGGGTGTAAATGCCCTGACCTCTCACTTCTTCGAAGCTCTCAGATACCCAGAACAAGCTGCTGGGAACTCAGAACCACCCAATTTGTGAAGGTCACACTGAAAATGTGTTGCAGGGCGTAGCACTGATCTCCCCTATCCCCACCTCAGTATCTTTAATCACAGAATCATCCTGTTTACCTGGCTGGAGGTGCTGATTTTAGCACCCCTTTAGCAGCATTGCTGGCCCATGTACTGTGTCTCAGCCAGAAATACCATCATTACAGATAACGCTGGATAGTGTTACCTGCCCTGAGGTTGACTGACATTTCCCATTACAAGAACCTACCTTCCAGTGCAAGTGAAACTTTGCTCAGCTTGAACTGAGGTGAGATTTTCCATGCCAGATGTTATTTCATTACAAGACCTTCCCTCATAATTCACAGCACCTGCAAATAAATAGGCCATTGCAAAGGCAATTTAAATAATGGTTTGACCTTTCAGCCATGAGTTTTCTGGCTTTGGTTAGCTTCAGCTCCTGTCTTAATCACATCTTATTATTTCATGCTCTGCTGTGTGCCAGCTTTTACTTTTAAGGAAAGAATGCTGGCATATGTTGTTGGCTAATAGATATGTGGGGAAAAATAGTCATTAGGGAAAGCCTACAGAACAGGGTATTTTTAAAATGAACTTTTGTGTTGTGTGAAAACATATGCCCCACACAAAATCACCTACACTCAATAACGAAATAGACACATTTATATAGGATGTATACTGCCTGTTGTACACACTGATTTTAGCAACCATATGTCCCGATATACCCACACATACCAAAACACCTCAGAGTCCTGTCAAAGATCCTCCACTGGTGTAAACGGCCCTGGCTCCATTCACAGGCTGGGAGCTACTTCATTGATGCCTACTGAGGATCTGCTCCAGCACCTGCCTGTTGCAGGAGCTCAGCTCTCTCCCTGGCTGCCTTTCAGCTCCAGGATCGGGCAGGTCGTTGGCATGAATCAGTGCCTCCCACTAGCAGCTGCGTGGGAGGGAAAATAAAAATTCCGTCGGAGTAGGCATCAGCAAGGCCATCAATAGCAAACATCTTGGAGGAGCTCCAAGCCAAGGAAAGTGGGGAATGAATTAATAGCAGGAGGATTCGTCAAGGATGACAAGATAGTTTGGATCAGGCATTTATATAAGGTTCATTCTGGGAATAGAGAGGGAGCGCTCACTGCCTGCCAGACGTAGTCCAAAGATGAGCCCCAAGGCAATCCAAGCAGCTGGTGCGCATGGGCAGGGGACTTTGTGCCTGCAAGCAGCGTGAGTCACCCCTCTGAGACACTGAGGGATGCTGGTCCAGCTCAGCTGGAAAATATCCAAGCCAAAGTGCACACATCTGGACCTCAGGTGGGCTTTGGATCTGGGCTGTGCAGCAGGGAAACCCCTCAGGTACTGGATGTCAAGTCTCCTCCCCATGTCCTGTGTTCCTCTTACTTGGCAATGACAAATCAATTTTGGCCTTGCTTGTCATACCCTATGGGGCTGATGTTAGTCCCCATCTTTTATGTCACTTACACATTTCACTTGAAGATCTTGTGGGATCTTGTATACACAAAACCCGAAAGGATGTTGTGGGTTTTAGGTGTTGTCCTAACTCCAGGCTTGGAGTGCTGCTCCTCTGCTGTGAGCCAGGACACTTTCTTGAACAAGCAGAAGGAAAAAAACCCTCAGATTTGTTCTGCAGGGAAGGCACCAAATGCCTTTGCAAAAGCAGCCTCCACATATTACCAGAGTGCACAGGGGGATGAACAGAGGTGACAGCGGGCTCATGGGAAGCCCAAAGCTCAGGCACAGCTTTTTGGGAATAGCCCTGGAATGGTGCAGGGCACGCAGTTCTAGGGGCTCATACTGGGAGATGGAGGAGAGGTGGGTGGAGGGAACATGGGCTGCAAGGGAGGGACACCTTTGCTGCTTCAGGCAGGGTCACTGCAACAAAGGAGAAAACAAATGTGATTTGCATGTGTACAACCTTCATAACAGGAATTGGGAGTCCCTGCTCTCCCTTCTGTGCAAATTGCCAGAGCTGCAGCAGCATGAGTTAGGGAAAGTTCAGAAAATTCCCTCCTACAGCTGTTGAAGCAGGCAGGAAGAGGAAGGCAGGAGGGTGTCAAGACCCCCGTGATCACCCTGCCGGGCAGCTCTGCCCTGGGATCATGCAGCTGGCCCTGCTGAGAGGCAAGTCACGCTTGGGCCAGAGCAAGGGAAAAACAACAACTTGGAGGGATGTTTCCTCCTGTGCAAAGGTGCCATTTACAAGCCATCCTGCCTAGAGTACGCACACAGCATGGGCAACAACTGGCAGGAGAGTTTCAGGAGACTATAACTTTGGGTGCATTTTTTTGCCCAGTGGCTAAAAGTTCAGTGGTTACAGCTAAGTCTGCTTTTGAAAGCTGAACCAAAGCAGCCCAGCTGTCTACTGAGCTCACGGTGGTGGAGCATATTTGGGTACAAAGTGGTCCAGCACCGCCAGGTTCCTCGCCTCCAGGGCAACAGGTTATTTCCTGCCTTAAATAATGCAGTGGAGAAAAAATAAAATGATGGGGTGGGTCACAGAAGCAAACAAAGCAAATGGAGAGAAACCAACAGCAACATGCCTCTGAGAAGATGATCTGCGCTTTGCCGAGTGCTGAAACCATGGAAGCAGTGCAAGCCAGGCAGAGGAAAGCACTTCATCCCCTCAAAAGGAAATGAAGTTTCTCGGAGGTTATTGCACAGGCTTGGGAGAAATGTACAGAAGGTGGGACATTTCCATGAGGTCCTCATACCATTCTTAGTACTTAAACATCCAGAAAAAACTGTTCTTTACCTGGAAGGAGCGATCTTCTGTCCACCCATGGATGGCCATACTTCAAGGCCACTATTTCAGTCCTTCTGAGGGCAGCTAAGCAGAGTTAGATCAAAACTAATGAGCCTCTGACTGTGCTTCTGTGGCTTCTTCCAGTCACAGAAGGCAAAAAACCCCACCCAAAAGGCAACAGGGCTGAAACGTCTTGAAATACTTGAAATTCAGGGAATAGCAACATGACAGGAGAAGGCAGATATTTCGCATAGTAACAGATACCCAGATAGTGTAAACTCAGCAGTGTATCACGGGTCATGGCAGCAGCAAAGCTGGGACATGAACACTGGGACCAGATATGTCTAAGGGCAGGAACATTTGCATGGGAGTGTTAACCCTTTTCTATATGAAGGGATAGGGCAGAGAGAGACTTAGGTCACTTCAAAAGCATTGGGCCTTTGGAGTAAGAGCATGGGTTGATTCATGTCTTTGACTTCAGAAGAGGTGAAAAATAACCACGGTGCAAGGCCTTTCTATATGTAACTGCTACAACTATCTGAACTTAGATATCCTAGATATAGATTCCCTCCAATCCCAGAATGGAATTTCAAGCTTCATGAACTTTCATTTGTTTTCTAGGAAGACGCCCCAAGCACATAATTTCTGGTTTTATTCACAAAGGCCACAAGTTTCCTCTCCTTCATTTTACAACAAGTGTGGGGGCCCTGTCTGTGAAGGCAGTGAATCCAGAAGTGCTTTGCAGTAGCATTTCTAACCATGCAAAGAGAATCACTTTGGCCAACTACTTCCAGACCACATCCCAGGAAGCCAGATTATCACCTACCTAAACAAGTGGTGAACTGAGCATTATCCCCTATCCATTTTCCCTGTAGGTAATTTACCCTTCCTCAAAATGTAGCCTCTCGTCTACCTACCGTGCAAATCAGTGTGGACACAGGAATCAGACTCATACTCCAAAGAAACCAAACACTGTTAAGAAAAAAACCCCTCTCCTCTAGACAAGACCTGCATCGAATTTATCACCTGCTCCAGAGATATTTATTCCAAGGGGCTCTGTCTTTGCCCTTCCTTCTGTCTCAGCGTGAGACACACATCTATTTTTGGCAGGCTTATTGGCATGAGCTGAATATTGTACCTGGAAGTGAGCAGTGCACAGAACTACTACAGGCACTCCTGACCGTGAGGGGTGCAAACTTTTCAAACTGTGTGTTTCAGTAGCACAGAGCTTACCACGTCCTCTGCGAGATGCCAGCCAAAATTTGTAGATGTGAGTCATAATCCAAATTTTTCAGCTGCACTCAGTCTGTTCTGCCTACGTTACTCTTTAAAATTGAACAGCTTCATGCTCTCCTCTGCTGGTATGTATCTCTCTGCCAGTATGTGCTCTTCCAGCAGCTGCCTATTCTCTGTTTTGTCGTTGCTTGCATCTCTTTTCCTAAAGGGTTGAAGAGCAATGAGTCCTCTTACTCCTTTCTTTGCTGCATCAGAAATTTCTAATATGAAAACTGGGATGTTAAAGGTGGTGGCTGCACAGTCCCAAAAGCCCAGAGGAGCTGATGCAGAAGCATGACCTCTCAGAGGCACCTCGCTTCCCCTCTGGCCACTGGTGTGTAGAGAAGCAGCACAACCCCCCCCACAGTGGGACCCCAGATTAACTGCCTGTGTAGACATGTACCTTCCAGACTAAGATTGCCTCATTTTGCCATCATTTAAAACCCTTAACAACAAATGAACAGCTATTCCCTTGAATGTTTTCTAAATCTCATTCAAAAAGCAGATAAAAAGATGGCAGCTCAGGTTTTTTCAAGCCCCAGGAAGAGCACCCTGAGTGCACCCTTTCTCTTCACAGCACCAAAGAGGGGCTCCAGGCAGATACCCCACATTTGTTATGAGTGGGGAAGACCACATTTGGATCTGGGGCTGATGTATGGTCAAACTAGAGTCCATTAGGACTTATTTTCTCTTCCATCAAAATCCAGAAGGTATCTCTCAAACATCAGTAGCAGCAGGCCTCTCGTAAAGGACAGGAACCCCATATTTTGCTCTGAGCTTGCTTTGTAGAAATTGTATGGGTTTTACTTTTTTTTCTTCTTTTTTTAAAAATCTGAACAGGAGACCAGGGGGTTTCAGAGCTAATCCAAAGCACAGACCAATTCATCACCAAACCTAATACTGAAGGGATTTAGATGCAGTCCTCTGATTTCTCCAGCTCTCTCTTTCTGGGAGGTTATTTCCTTTAAAACAGCAGTTAAAATGTTTTGCACAGCAGCTCATATTTAACCATGTGGAAAAGCATAAATGCTGGCAAAAAATTGTAAGGCAACAACATCCGATTCACGCTGAAGACCTTCCTTCCTCCCTGTACCTCCTTAGCAATAGCTACCTACATCAGTCAGTATTAATGCCCTTGTAGCCATGACAGATCTGTGGTGGTTAAGCAATGCAAGCTGGCAGGGAGAGGCTAGTACTGTTACTGTAATTATTGATAGCACACTCAAGAGCACGTTTGTTTTTTCCAGCTGTATCTATTGCTGAAGCAGTTGGTATTACCTTTCTCTATAATTTTTGCCTGCAGGATACTTTTCTCTGGATTCTGACAGACCAGCACCTGCGGATATATTTACTACTACAGAAATTATGCTGGATCATCATCTCAACTCCTTTTTTTCCCCTAGCACCATTAACTTGAGTAGCTGGGGGAACAGCTGAGGGTCTACTCCAGTATTTTGTGTGCTCTCCAGCACAAGTACAACATGCCTACAATAAAAGCAAGGAAGCAACATATCAAGCAGAGCCACCAAGAAGCCAGATGTATCAGTTTCATGATGACTCAAGGACAGCAACCTAAACCCAGACAGTCCCAGTATAAATCTATTTGCAAAGAAAGACTGCACTAAATCCAAAGATCTTGGCCATAATTTGCAGCCAGCTTGGTCTCTTCCTGCTCTGGTTAAAGTCAGCAGCCAAATTTCCATTGCTTTTGCTGGAAACACCTACAGAGCACAGCAGCTATGCCAACCTGCCGGGGGCAGCAAGGCAGGAATAGCAGCCCCATGTGAAACTGCAGCAGGGAATCTGACGTACACAAAACACAAACACCTGCGCTGGGATCTGGGCAGCATGGAAAGGGAACAGATGTGAGGTCTCAGCAGCTGAGCTGGCAGAGTAAGAGCTATCTCCAGACTGAAATGCTGAAGATCAAATGGTAAAACTTGTGCAAGAGGGGTAGCTGTACTGGAGTAACCACATTAGCTGGGAACCTTGGCACTGACCTTTGAGATCCCAACTGTCCTTTCTTTTTTGCTCATATGCTGTCACTTTCTGTACATCCCTTCCTCTTGCTCTCTGTGCTTCCTTGAACACATCCACGTTGAAGAATGAATGGCCTCCGCAGTTAGCGAGCAACATCACCATGGCAAACCACTCCTTCAGTGGACAAACCAGTGGCTGGAAAACATGCACAAAGGCACATGTCTTCCTGGCAGAGGGAGTAAAGCAGCAAAGAAGCCACTGAGCCAGGAGACAGGACGCCTCCAAGAGAGAGACCTTAAGTGGTTGTGTGGGGGTTCATTGCTCTGCTGGCTGGCTGACATCAGGCTCTTTGGGCTCAAAGAGACCTGTTTCATTTTAAAGGGAAAACTTCTCCAGGGATTTCATTAGCACCATCATGAACGACAGAAAGGAACTGGAGGTTGGTGGAGGGGCGATGGTGGGAAGGGAAACAGGATAGAAGTGCTGTCAAGCTGCGTTTAAACTGGCAGGGGAAGGAGCCTGGGAGCACTCTGCCCTCTTGGGACAGCCTCACTGCCCCAGGGAAGGGCTGCCTCCTTCCCCTGTCTACAGGGTGAGTGGCTGGGGTGGGGTGGGGGGCAACGTCCAGGAGAGCAGCTGCCCAAGAGCTCAACCTGAGGCACCTACTCACCCACCTATGCTCCTGGGGCAGTTTCCCCCCTGCCAAATCCCTCCTCCTCCTCCTCCTCCTCCCTGTGCTCTCACTCTTCCTGGGGTCTGTCCTCCTCTCTCCCAACACTGGCTGGACACTGTTGTTCGTGGGGAGCAGCTGCTCTGGCCAAGTTCATGCCTCTGCAACTGGCAGCAGAAGACAAGGCACCCGTGGCTGTGTTTGCAGTGGTGAGAAGCATGTTGGTGTTGTTACACAGCTGTCCCACTCTGCAATGCTGAGGACTGGTTTGACACAGGGTCCTGGCAGGCCTACACATTTTAAGCTGATTGCTCCTTGAGAGCTGCCTCCACCTTTCTGAAGACTCCATTGCAAGAAGGGGGTGAAGTAGTCTTTGAAAGAGCAGTTTAGCGGATCCAGAACACAGGTAGATTCCCCTGTATTAGGCTGAGAAAAGTCACAGAAGCAACACACAAAAAAAGCAAAATACCCACAAAAATAGGAGGAAAAAAAGAATCCAACTTTGTTAATTCGAAGCAACAGATCTTAGTTATAACTGCAAATCAGCTTAAGAAATTCAAAGACATAAGTTAGGCCCCCTGTGCTATTGCTCACCAGAAGTAATATTTGTTATTACAATTTCTTCTATGTAGCATCATAAAATGCCAAACAGGACTATGCTGCTTTCAAGTACAGCCTGTTCAAAGCAATTGGTGAGTCTTGCCTGGAATACCTGGCAAAGGAGAGCGATGCATTTGTCTCCCTGTGTCTTGAAGAAATTGAGGAGAGATGTTTATCAAGGAAATGAGTAATACAAATGGTTTGGCTTTCAGCAGACTTGGAAATACATACAGCAGGTTCCAGCACAAGTTTGTAAAAAATTAATTAGCAGCGAGTGGGAAAAGAAGTGATGAGTGTTATTCTCTGTGCTGCTGTCTTGTTTAACTTAATAAAAGTGATTGAACTGTAAGATCCCAGTGAGACACCTCCTAAAATTAAGTGTTTCTCCAGAAATGGAACTGTTCGTTTCACAGTAGGAATGATCAGGTGTTCTAAACTCTATCATGTTTCAGCTCCTAACACCAGATAACTGACAAGACTGTTGGACTCCCCTAAACATTTAGCTTGTTTTGTTGTCATTAAAAATCAATGGAATTTTGGAGACTAATTTATCCAGCTGAGCTCTGCTCTGCTTCTGTAAGAACCTAAAATATGAAAATCTGCCATAAAATAATTAGGTTTATTCTAAATTTTAGTGAAAATGTAACAATAAAAGTTTGGAGAAGACAAAGCTCAGAATTTTTCCAGAAGGTTTCTTTGACTTGCAAGCCCCCCAAACAAGCTGTGAAACAAAGCAAAAACTATATCAAAGCAGTGGGCCTGGCAACCCTGCTAAGGAATACCACGTAACTATCTTCTCCCACCCAAGTGTCTCTTTTAGAGCCTGGTACATCACTCAAGAACAGAACATTTATAAGAATAACTGCAGTCAGTAAAGCATAGCTTTAATGACTGACAACCTGTCCAGAGAGGGACTGGAAGCTCTGCTTGCTCCTGGTTGACCACTTCAAAGGGCTCCCACATGCTGAGCAGAGGGGCCTGAATTGCAGCCTTGCGTGACAGCAGCACGCTTCTCACCAAAGCTTCGACAGAGGGAGCCAAGTCCTGCATCCCTTGTGCAGCTATTTTGTTTGGGATTCACTCCCAGTTTCCACAAGCACAAAGTAAAGGAGAATTAGGCCTGCCAAATTCATAGCAACACATCAGCTCAAGTGCACTGTAAATTCTCCAGGTGGCAGTGACCAAAACCAACTGCTGGGAATTAGTCCTTCAAGCCACCTCTTAATGTCATACAGCAAGCAATAGTAAACCACAACCCAAGCTGGGCAACCAGTGCATTGGGCCAGTTCCCACTGCAGCCAGTGGTGATCTTGCCAACTAAAATCAGAGCAAGAAAGTTCTGGGTATAAACAGCAGCAGAACTTGTTAGAAGAAGTGAACCTTTGCTGTAACCAACCAATGGCATGGTTCAAACATCTCACACAACATTTTCCCTCATCCATCAACACACCAGGAATGTAATCTCGAAGTCTTGTGCAGAGCCAAGTACACAGTGTACTCAAGCAATGAGCGTTGGCTTCCTCTCTGTGAAAGCTCTGGGCTCAGACCTCACGGTAGCAGAAATCAATGGGAGCTAATGGGCAGGGAGAGAGTTGGAGAAAGCAGCATTGCGCCTACAGGATCAACCAAGCAACCCACAGTCTTGGGCATGCTGAGACGTGAGCTCTGCTTTTCTTAGGTATTCTGCATCTTACAGCAGGCAGCTACCAGGGCAGCTGGCACCAACTTTGCAGCTTCCCTATGGACACCTCTGCAGAGCCCTCACTCATGAATCTATTTCAGGTTGCTCTTAAACCAGCTCATATAGATAGGAAAAAATCCCCAGTCTACTCAGCTGGTGCATTTGAAGTGTTAGAAACATCACTAAGGCGATAAAGCTTTTCTTTCTCTTTTTTTATCCCTCCTGTTAAAAAAAAAAAACCTGCTCAGAAGCTGTATTCCCTCGCTCATGCACACACACTTTTCTGTAGAAAAAGCTCACCCACATTGCAACCATGATCTGTGGGATCATATGTCTGTAGGTAAACACACACAGCTATCAGGCACTCCTGTGGAGGCACAGGCATTACAGTATCAGTCAGGTACAGAACAAAATCTTAAGTTTCCTCCCTAGGTCTGGGGTGTACCATGCCACGCTCATTCAATCAGTCTGTTATAGTTAACAGCACTTGGACATCCATGCCCACACAGGGGCTGAATTTGGGCTGGGCCACTGTTCAGCAGGGGTAGGGATGTAGGTCAATTTAAAAGCCTGGTATGCAGAAATCACTATGTTTGATGTCCCAGCAACAGACACTGTATCACCCATTGTGCATCTCAATTAGTCAGCACATCCCGAGCAGTTACATGGTGACCACTGATGCTCCTTATGTGGTGCTGCCCTGCAGAGGCCAAGGTGGCAAGGTCTGCTCCAAATGAAGCCTTCCATGGAATATGTGGTGTTGAAGGTAGTGATAAGAGAACAGTGTCTTTCCAAGAAAGTCACCTCTTTTCAGAGTGAAAGCCAAGCTCCCGTGACAGAAACAAACCAGCATCTTGCTCACTTCTCATGTGGCACATTAAGGCTATGTTCCGTCAGTGTTTGTTTCAAGAGGAATTGCAGGACATCATCTGAGAGTCCAGGTGTTCTCCTTCTGTCTTCCAACACAACCTCTCCCTCAGCTGGCTTTGAAAAACAAGCAGTAGTGGGGTGGTTTGGAAAGATCTTACACCCATCTCTATTCAAGACCACCTGGGCCATTTGCAGACAACGCAACACGTATTTTGTTCCATCCCGGTTTGCTAGCTCTGAAATCTTCTGCGAAAGACATTGTGATGCAGCCTTGTAGGTGGGATCCATTCTGTCTGGCCGTTTTTTGCAATACATTTTGTAGAAGCCATCAAGACATTTCCTGACACTGGTATCTTCCGCACTATCATGTTCATACACCCATGAGAGAGCAGCATCATTAGGTTCAGTGGTCTCACACAGCCCCACTTTTGGATAACATCTCATGTTTGCTTTCCCAGAGCTTCCAGCAGAAAAGCTCGGAGGAGCTGCAGATGGTAGATTGTTCTCTCCTGCAAGCACAAGATCAATGAAACTCATTAGTCACCAGGTCATCCCTGTGGCAAAATCTTTTTTTGGCCCCCCCTCACTGCAGTCTGGCAAGCAGGCTCTGTGCAGGAGTGAGCTAAGTACTGCTTTAAACTTGCCTGGACTGCCAGAGGGGCTTGATGCATAGATTCATACAAGATGGGCTGTATTTGGGGATCTCATAGTTGTCCCAGCCTCACTCTATTGCACTGCAGTGATTGAACCTACTTGGTAGTACAAACCTCCCAGCTCTTCTCGGTCGTATTTCCAAAGAGGTGAAAATTGGGACCTGCTGCTGCTGGAGACAACGGCTGACCCACAGGAAAGTCTAGTTTGCAGCTGAAGCAGTTCTGCGTGTTTCCTTTTTCTCCCTTTGGCCATGGGTCTAATCCTTCCCTTTTCATAGTTCTCAATTTTACTCCTACAGCACAATGTGCAGTCTTGTCCTCCAGCTTTCAGGGAGATCTAGAGCCTCCAAACTGAAACTGTTACAGTAACTGCATGGAGTTTGTGCTTCCCCATGAAGTCCCATCTTTGCAGCCCAGCTGCACTAAACACTCTTCCCTCATCCTGCAGGAATTTTTATAGGTAACATTTATGTAAAGGCCGAGGACTCATTCTTGCCTAGCTCTTCTCTTCCTTCCTTGCTGACCCACATCTCTGGACAAGTCAGGGCTGTGGTTCTCTTCTGCTCCAATGCAATCAACAGGGATGCTTTGTACTTGCACATAATTAATACAGCATCAGCACAGAGACATTTGGCAATGACGTGACCAGGATGATCAGCAAGCCATACAGCTTCTGCTAGGAACAGCCTCCATAAAGAGACCTTGAATTGGGCTCTGGTACCCAGGGAGTGCCTCTAACTGCAATCTCATCTCTGAGCCCGCTGCGCCAGTGTGTTTGCCAAGCACCTGAGTCACCAACAAGAAAATTTTCCAGGACTCAGCCAGAGGTTGCACAGCCGTCAACGGCAAGTTACATAAGCAGGATGCAGGGAGTCAGAAAATAGCTTGGTCTTTTCTAATTCTGTGAAATATGAAGCAGAGTGCAATCCTTCATTTCGGTAAGAGACCACGTTCAAAGGAAATTCCAGTGCGGTGGCAGAAGGCTGTTCTTTCCCTCCCAGTACAGAAAGAGCTAACCTCCCCTTCCTGAGTGATCAGAGATTCATTAAAATGAAATTAAGATGTCTGTCCAGCCATACTGTACATTGCCTCTTTCTTCTTTCCCCTATTTCCTATCTTTGATCTTTCTTTTCAACTTCACTTCATCTCTGATTCTGCAGTTTTAAATAGAACTTTTCCTCCTCTTGTAATGTGTCATTTCCAATGCAGTACAAAGAAAAGCTTAGTGGCCTTCTTTTAACATCAATATATGCCATCAGAGTAGCAAATCAGAGCTAATCAAAAAGAACAGGTCCATTTTGCCTCAGTAATCTCTCAGCCTTGGTGCCTATGTTATAAGTTAGAACTGAAGCCTCATGCATCTCTGATAATTCAATCAAGTGGCACTTGCGCTCAGACTCCTGTGGCAATTGCAAACCCCTGTGCTGGGCTGTCATCTTGCTACTTCTTACACACAGCTCACAGACATATTTTGTAAAAGAGCAGCAGCTGCCTCCAGCTACAAATCTCAACCCTACATGATCTGTGAAGAGCAAAATCCTGTTGGTTTCATGGTGTTAGGGGAGACCTTTGCAATGATGTTCTGCCTTTCTCCCATGATCTTACATTGGATATTAGGAAAAATTTCTTCTCTGAAAGGGTTATCAAACATTGGAACAGGCTACCCAGGGAAGTGGTTGAGTCACCATCCCTGGAAGTATTTAAAAGATGTGTAGATGTGTGTCCTGGTTTCATCTGGGATGTAGTTAGCTGTCTTCCTAGTAGCTGGTACAGTGCTATGTTTTGAGTTCAGTATGTGAAGAATGTTGATAACACTGATGTTTTCAGTTGTTGCTCAGTAGTGTTTAGACTACAGTCAAGGATTTTTCAGCTTCTCATGCCCAGCCAGGGCACCTGACCTGAGAATACACTGATTATTTCAGTAATATCTTTAAATACTGAAGACATTCAAA